TCTGGGGGGCCCCTGAGTTGATTTGCTGCTGCTGCCTTTTCAAAGCTGTAGGCCGGCTTGAGAGCGGGGCTGCTGCTGCTGCTGCTGCTGCTGCTGCTGCTGCTGCAGTTGCGGCTGATGGGCTCAGGAAGGTTGTTGTTGCTGCTGCTGCTGCTGCTGCTGCTGCTGCTGCTGCTGCTGCTGCTGCTGCTGTCTCTGCGCAAGCCAAAGAAAGCAGCAGCAGGGCCCAAGGGGTCCGAAAGGGCTTCTTCAAGACTGAGGTGCTGCGCGAGAGCAGCAGCAGCAACAGCAGGAGACCCCTGGCTGCTGCTGCTGCTGCTGCTGCTGCTGCTGCGAGCAGCAAGAGCAGCATGAAACTGCATGTCTTGCTGCGCAAGCTGCTGCTGCAGCTCTTTTATTTGCTGCTCGTAGTGGCCCCTCAAAGTGCAGAGACGCTCTCCAGAATCCGCCAAACTCTGCAGCAGCAGCAGCAGCAGCAGCAGCAGCAGCAGCAGCAGCAGCACCAGCAGCACCAGCAGCAGCAGCAGCAGCAGCAGGACTGTTCGTACTGCGTTTTGCAGGCAGAAGTGAATCTATTAACAAATTAATTAATTAATTAATTAATTAATTAGTTGATTAATTAATTATTTATTTATTCTAATTAATTAATTAATTAATTAATTAATTAATTAATTAATTAATTAATTAATTAATTAAAAAATACCTCTTCAAGAATTTTCTTTTCTGCTTCCAACTGGCGAATTCTCTCGAGGGCGAAATCGAGCTGAAAAAAAAGAATTTAAAATTTAAATAAAATCATTTTTAAATTAATTTAAGTCAATTTAAATTAATTAATATAAATTAATTTAAATTAATTAATTTAAATTAATCTAAATGAACTAAAATTAAGTAATTAAAATTAATTAAAATTAATTAAAATTATTTAATTAAAATTAGTTTTAATCAAAACAAAATAAAACAAACCAAAGTAAAATAAAATAAAAAAACAAAATAAAATAAAGCAAAATAAAACAAAACAAAATCAAATCAAATCAAATTAAAAGAAAAGAAAACAAAATAAAATAAAATAAAACAAGATAAAATAAAACAAGACAAATTAAAACGAAGCAAAATGAAATGAAATAAAATAAAATCAAACAAAACAAAGTAAAATAAAATAAAATAAAACAAAATAAAACAAAATAAAGTAAAATAAAACAAAATAAAATAAAACAAAATAAAACAAAATAAAGTAAAATAAAACAAAATAAAATAAAATAAAATAAAATAAAATAAAATAAAATAAAACAAAACAAAATAAAATAAAATAAAATAAAACAAAATAAATAAAATAAAAGTTCACTTGTGTTGCTGCTTCTTTCAGCAGCGCCGCCAGCAGCAAACTGTCCATTCTGTTGGCCTGCAGTTCTCTCTGTAAACTCCCAACCAAAGAGTCTCCAAAAAGTCCCTAAACAGCAGCAGCAGCAGCAGCAGCAGCAGCAGCAGAGGTGGCAGCAGCAGCAGCAGCAGCAGCAGTGGGAGCAGCGTAGCAGCAGCAGGGGCTGCAGGGGTAACAGCAGTGGTAGGAGCACAAATCGCAGCAGCAGCAGCAGCAGCAGCAGTGGCAGCATTCATCGCAGCAGAAGCAGCAGCAGCAGCAGCAGCAGCAGCAGCTGCTGCTGCTGCTGCTGCTGGTAGGGGAGCAGCAGCCCCCTTATCTTACCTCTGCACTTTCTGAGGGCCCCAGGCCAGCAACAGCAAACTTGGGGGCCCCCCGGGGGCCCCCTGTAGCTTCGTCAACTGCAGCAGCAGCAGCAGCAGCAGCAACAGCAGCAGCAATAGCAGCAGCAGCAGCAGCAGCAGCAACAGCAGCAGCAATAGCAGCAGCAGCAGCAGCAGCAGCAGCAGCGTTGCAAAGGGGCTTGGCTGGCTACTGCAGCTTCATCCAACTGACTTGCAGCAGCAGAGGCCTCTCCAGCAGCAGCAGCAGCAGCAGCAGGGTCCTCCCCCGCAGCAGCAGCAGCAGCAGCAGCAGCAGGGGGCCCCCCGGGGCCCCTGAAAGCTTCTGCTGCAGCACGAAGCACAGGAGAGGGGCCCTCCAAAGGGGGCCCCTCAGTGTCCCCTTTTGGGGGCCCCCTAAAGGCTGCAATGGCAGGGGCCCCCTGGGGGCCCCCCTTGAGTGTCTTGGGGGGCCCCTGGGGCCCCCGGGGGGCCCCCGGGGCCCCCTGGGGGGCCCCCTTTGCTGCAGCATTGCAAACAGCCAAAGACCGGGGGCCCCCGCATGCAATGTAAGAAACCCCTTTGCCCCTGAGGGCCCTCAAGGGGGTGGGAGTGTTGGGAGCTGCTGCTGTTACTGCTGCTGCTGCTGCTGCTGCTGCTGCTGCTGTTACTGCTGCTGCTGCTGCTGCTGCTGCTGCTGCTGCTCTTTATGTGTCGGTTTAGGGACTCACTCGAGAAGTGCCCCAGGCCCAGACATCCCCTGCGGAGACAAAATAAAATAAATGAAAAAAAAATAAAATAAAATAAATGAAAAAAAATAAAATGAAATAAAAATAAATAAAATGAAATAAAAATAAATTAAATGAAATAAAAACAAATAAAATGATATTTTAAAAATTAAATAGCAGTTTAAACAAAAAAGAAATCAAATAAAATAAAGGAAATAAAGAGAGATTGAGCGGAATAAAAGGAACTAAAAAGAAATAAAAATAATAAATAAAAAAATAATAAATAATAAATAATAAATAATAAATAATAAATAATAAATAATAAATAATAAATAATAAATAATAAATAATAAATAAACAAAAATAAATAGAAATAGGTTAAAAGGGATAAAATAAAAAGAAATAAAATATCAAGAAAAATAGAAAATGAAAAGAAATAAAAAAATAAAAAGAAATTAAAAAACAAAAAGAAATAAAAAGTAAAAAGAATTAAAAAATAAACAGAATTAAAAAATAAGAAAATAAAAAACAAAAAGAATTAAAAAGGAGACAAAAAGGAGACAAAAAGTGGCGACAAAAGCTCGTAAAAACATAGTCATAAAGACATAAAAGTAAAATTAAAAAAGATATAAAAATAAAATTAAAAAAATATAAAAATAAAAAAAATGAAAGTGAAATTAAAAAAGACAAAAGTAAAATTAAAAAGACAAAAAGGGAAACAAAAGGAGACAAAAAGGAAACAAAAAGAGACAAAAAAGGGATTAAAAAAAGACAAAAAAGGAAACAGGAAAAGACAAAAAGGGACAAAAAAGGGCCAAAAAGGGGACAAAAAAGGGACAAAAAAAGGACAAAAAAGGGACAAAAAAGGGCCATAAAAGCGACAAAAAGGAGACACAAAAGGGACAAAAAAGAGACAAAAAAGGGACAAAAAAGAGACAGGAAAGGGACAAAAAAAGGACAAAAAAGATGCAAAAAGTTGCGAAAAAGCAATTTACGCGTCTGGACAGGCGAAAAAAGTCCAAAACGCTCGCGAAAAGGAGAAAAAAAGCGAAATAAAAAGGAGACAAAAAGGAGACAAAAAGGGACAAAAAAGAGACAAAAAAGAGACAAAAAAGAGACAAAAAAGAGACAAAAAAGGGACAAAAAGGGACAAAAAAGACCGAAAAATCGAAAAACGGACCCGATTTCAAGAGACACACTGTTTGGGCCTCCCCGCAAGAAACTGCTGCTACCAACTGGCCATTTAAAGCTTCGACTTTGCGCGGAAGAAAAGTGTCTCCTTCTCCAGTCGGCTCGTGGCCCAGCTGGAGACAAAAAAAGGGAAAAAAAGGAAAAAAAAGGAATTAAAATCAATTAAAATCAATTAAAATCAATTAAAATCAATTGAAACGAAGTGAAAAGAGTTAAAATGGATGTAAAGGAACTTTAAAAGGAAAAAAAGGAAAAAAAAGGAATTAAAATGAATTAAAAGGAATTAAAATGAACTAAAATGAGTACCAAGGAACTTAAAACGGAAAAAAAGGAAAAAAGGAATTAAAAAGAATTAAAATGAATTAAAATGAATTAAAAGGAATTAAAATAAATTAAAATGAATTAAAAAGAACTAAATGAGTTTAAAGGAAACCAAGGGAACGTAAAAAGGAAAAAAAGAATCAAAAATGAACAAAAATGAACTAAAGTGGAAACAAAAGAAAATAGTATTAAATTGAATTAAATTAAATTAAATTAAATTAAATTAAATTAAATTAAATTAAATTAAATTAAATTAAAATGCAAATAAAAATAAAAAAATAAAAGATAATAATGGAGAAAAGAGGAAATAAAAAAGCAAAAAGAAACAAAAAGAATTAAAAAGAAAAAAAAGAAGCAAAAAGATGAAAAAAGAAAAAAAGAAAAAAAGAAAAAAAGAAAAAAATAAAACAAAAAAGATAAAAGGAGAAAATTGGGAAGTGAAGAAACAAAAAAAGAGACGCAGTGCTGCAGACTCTCTGAAGAAAACCCTAAACCCTAAACCCTAAACCCTAAACCCTAAACCCTAATTTAGGGTTTTGGAGGGACCCACCCGCCGGCCCTGGCCCCAAGTGTAAAGTTCTCCGTCTGCTGTTATGCATGCGCTGTGCTGCGCCCCGAGAGACACAGACACCACAATCTGCAGCAGCAGCAGCAGCAGCAGCAGCAGCAGCAGCATTTGCAGCAGCAGCAGCAGCAGCAGCAGCAGCAGCAGCAGCAGCAGCAGCAGCAGCAGCAGCGGCAGAAGCAGCAGCATCACCATCATTATCAGCAGCAGCACCAGCATCATCATTGTCAGCAGCAGCAGCATCATCATTATCAGCAGCAGCAGCATCACCACTATCAAAAGCAGCAGCAGCACCATTATCAGCAGCAGCAGCAGCAGCATCATCATCATCATCAGCAGCAGCAGCAGCAGCAGCAGCAGCAGCAACAGCAGCATCATCATCAGCATCATCATCAGCAGCATCATCATCATCAGCAGCAGCAGCAGCAGCAGCAGCAGCAGCAGCAGCAGCAGCAGCAGCAGCAGACTTTGTCGCTCAAAGGGCCCTGGACTTTTGTGGGGTGTAAAACCGAAGCAAAAACTCCCAACCCCAATTTCCCAAAAGCCCCTCCTCCCCAGGTGTACAGACACCCCGGAGACACGATGCATGCTGCAGCAGCAGCAGCAGCAGCAGCAGCAGCAGCAGCAGCAGCAGCAGCAGCAGATGCAGCAGCGGCGAACGCGCAAGCAGCAGCAGCAGCAAAAGCAAACGCAGCAGCAGCAGAAACAACCGATTTATTTCTTTTGTTTCTTTTATTTTTCTTTTATTTCTTTTAATTTTTTATTTCTTTTATTTCATTTTATTTTTTCATTTATTTTTGAAATTCTGTTATCTCTTTTGCCTCTTTTCCTTTTTTGTCTCTTTCAATTCTTAAATTAATTTAATTTAATTTAAATTAATTTAAATTGATTTGAATACTTTAATTTAATTTAATTTGAAATAATAAAATTAAATTAAAATTAAATTTAATTAAATTTAATTAAATTTAATTAAATTTACAAAAAATAAATTATTTTTTGCTTACCTGTGTGGTGTCCCCCGCAAGAGATAGAAGTGACGGAAAGTCCTTCCAGGGCCTCCACCTTCTCTGGCTGCAAACCACAAATTAGGGTTTAGGGTTTAGGGTTTAGGGTTTAGGGTTTAGGGTTTAGGAAGGCAAAAGAGACAGAAGCGGAGAAAGAACAATAAATTCAAAAGAAACAAAAAAGAGACAAAAAGAAATAAATAAGGAGGAGACAAAAGAAAAACAAAAAGAGACAAAAAAGAGATAAAAGAAAACAAAAAAGAAATGAAAAGAAATAAAAAGAAATAAAAAGAAAAAGAAATATCTGAAGTAAAAAAATTAAAAACAAAAAGACAAACAAAACAAACAAGACTAAATAAATAAAATGCGTAAAATAATAAAATAAATAAAAGGAGTAAAACGGTAAAATAAAAGAATGACTTAAATAATAAAATAAGTAAAATAAATAAAATAAGTAAAACAAATAAAATAAAATAAATTAAATAAATAAGACAAATAAAATAAATTAAATAAAATAAATAAAATAAACAAAGTGAATAAAATGAATAAAATAAGTAAAATAAATAAAATAAACAAAAAAAATAAAACAAATAAAACTGAATTAATAAAAATAATAAATAAAATAAAATTAAAAAGGGACAAAAGGAGACAGTCGTATTTTGACCTTATATCTGTCCTTTTCGTCTCCCAGCCCTGAAAAATAAAATAAATAATAAATAATAGATAAATAATAAATAAATAAATAAATAAATAAATAAATAAATAAATAAATAAATAAATAATTGATTAATTAATTAATTAATTAATTAATTAATTAATTAATTAATTAATTAATTAGATGATAATAACTGTCTTTGGAGACAACTGACAAGTGCACTTTTCTCCAAAGTGCACTCGAAGGAAAATTCAATTTGTCCATTTAATTATTTTAATTTATTCAAATATTTCAGATTTAAGAATTAGAAGCAGCAGCAGCAGCAGCAGCAGTATTAGCAGCAGCAGCAGCAGCAACAGTATTAGCAGCAGCAGCAGCAGCAGCAGTATCAGCAGCAGCAGCAGCAGCAGCAGCAGTATTAGCAGCAGCAGCAGCAGCAGTATTAGCAGCAGCAGCAGCAGCAGCAGCAGGATTAGCAGCAGCAGCAGCAGAGGTAGAAGCAGCAGCAGTTGTTTCGCTTCCACAGCGAAGCACCCCTGGCAACTGCCTCCGCGTCGCAGCACCGCGCAGCAAAGACCTAGGGTTTAGGGTTTAGGGTTTAGGGTTTAGGGTTTAGGGTTTAGGGTTTGCGGACCGAGTCTGCCGGAGAGCCCCAGGCCGCAGGTGTACATACACCGCGCGCCCCCGCGCCCCACAGCCACAAAGGCCGTATGAAAGGCCCCACAAGAGACAGCAACAACTGTCTCCTTGGCCAGGGCCTTGACTTGCTGCGGAGAGGAGACACTAACTCCTTCTGCTGCTGCTGCTGCTGCTGCTGCTGCTGCTGCTGCTGCTGCTGCTGCAGCAGGCGCCGCAGCAGCAGCTGCTGCGGGCGCGGCGCCCGCAGCAGCGGCCTCGGGGGCCCCCCGGGGGCCCCCCGGGGGGCTCCCCGGGGGGCCCCGGGGGGCCCCCTTGGAGCCGCAATTGGGAAAAGGGTACTGCTGGAAATGGTCGAGACCCAAACAGCCGTGGGAGTTGCAGCCCCAGGTGTAGACGCAGCCGTCGTGGGTAATGCATGCGGAGTGGTAAGCCCCACAGGAGACCTAAAGAAAAATAAATAAATAATTATTTATTTATTTGTTTATTTATTTATTTGTTTATTTGTTTGTTTGTTTGTTTGTCTGATTGGGGGATTCGAGGGGCTTTGCATGCGGCGGGAGGTGCTGTGGAAGAAAGAAGAAGGAAAGAAAAAAAAGCAAGAAAAATGACGCGGTTTAGGGTTTAGGGTTTAGGGTTTAGGGTTTAGGGTTTACGGCCACCACGGGCTTGCCCTGCGGCCCCTTCAGCACGCGGGCCCGC